TGATGGTGAGCCTGGAGCTGATCTGGGCGAGTTGGCCAGCTCCCTGGCCGTGGACGGCAAGGCTGCCACCCAGGCAGCGGCCGCGGTGTGCTCCGCCCCCTTGGCGGCACACCAAGCTCGTGCTGGCCAGGGCAGCCTGAAACACGGTGGTAAGGCCCCAAGGACTGGTTCCTCAGCATCTTCGGCGGCGGCGGCGGGCTTGGGCCAGGGAGGCCTGGCACCGCTGGCGGGGCCCCCGCCGCCCTCGGCTGCGGCCGCGGCGGCCTCGGAGCCAGAGCAGGGTGCGCGCGGGCGGGCGGCCTCTGCCCAGCCCGCCAGGAGTGGCCAGGCGCTGCCTGGGACGGCCAGGGCCGCTTCGTCGGAGCCGCGGCCGCATACGGTCGAGATCATCGGCCACTTCGTGGTCTGCGTGGTATGCGGTTCCTACTACAGCTCGGTGGCCAGGAACCTCGGCGGGCCGTGCAGGCGGCTGGACCCGCGCGACCCAGGCGACAGGGAGCGCCTCAGGCGCATCCGCCGCATCCAGCGCGGCCAGGACCCAAAAACTGGACGGGATCTGAGTTGAGGCCGTTGTGCTCGTTCAATGATATGTCTGGTTTCAGTGCGTGCGGCCCCCCCCCTTGGCGCGGTGTTTTCCGTGAGCTGAGGGGCCTGGGCGGGGCTGCCGCCCCGCTCGGGGCGCTCGGGCCTACCTTCCCGCGTTGCGGGTGGCCTGGGCGCGGCGCGTTTTCTCGCTGCTTTTCGGCCCCCCTTGGCGGCAGGCTGAGGGGCCTAGGGTGGGGCGCGGCCTCGAGGGGGCCTCGGCGCCGCCGCCCTGGGGAGCGCGCGGGGGCGCTGCCCGCGGCTCGGCCCCTCTCTCGGGCTCGGCAGGCGACGGACGTCGCCCGAGGGCCCTGCGCACGGGCCTGGCGAGGTGCAGACGCCCCAGGCCGCCGAGGCACCAAAGCACCAAAACACACACACACACACACACACACACACACACACACACACACGCACACGCACACGCACGCGCACGCGCACGCGCACGCACGCACGCACGCACGCACGCACGCACGCACGCACGCACGCACGCACGCACGCACGCACGCACCCACCCACCCACACACACACACACACACACACACACGCACGCACGCACACACACACACACACACACACACACACGCACACACGCACACACACACACACACGCGCACACACACACACACACATACGCACACACCTTCTGGTGTCGCGGCCGCGCGCGGAGCAACGCCGCGGAGTCGGGCTCGCGGCCGGGGACGGGAGTGGGCGACGCGGACGGGCAGACCACGCGCACGCGCACACACCAGACGGCCGCAGGCGCGGCCGGCGGCTCTTCCTGCACACCGTGGTGCAGCTGTACCTCCGCGAGATGTCGTTTCCGCAGGGGTCCCCGCGGCTCACGGCTGCAGCCGGGCTCGGGCCCGCACAGCTTGCACCCGTGCCACTGGCTGACTCGTATACCCGAAGAGGAAACACCTGCATGAGCATAATTTTCGGAGCCCCGCGCGGACGTCCTGAATCCGAGGTGGGGGTCCGCTGGCGGCGTCTCCGGCGCCGCCCCTGGCGCGCTCCGCGCGCCAGGGAGGGGGAGCCAGCGCCGATCCAGGAAGTCCGTGCGTACCTTCGAAAGTTCATGTTTATGCCGCCGTTTTTTTGTCTGCATACTTCGCGCTACTATTATTACTATGACCACGACTCTGCGGGGGGAGTCCTGCCAAGCGCAGGCAGCAGCGACAGAGGGCCTCCTGCCAACGTTACGTACAGAGCCTTGGACGTGAAGCGGATCGCGTGGCTGCTCCCACCAAAGGTGGGTAGCACCTTCGTGAACACCCTGCTCGGGTACGCTTGTTCTGGGATGGATGATGGCGAGCACGTCACCAGGAATATGTATGACGCCTTCGTGCATTTCAAGAGCAAGAAGGTCCCAGACTCGTGGAATTGTCCGGTCTTAGAGGACGGTAAGCCAGCTTTGGACCTTCCTTGCTCCCACAAGCCCATCACGTGGAGTAAGCTTCCCTGCAATAACTGGGATAAGTCGAATGGCAATTTCATTATGATCTTGCGCGACCCTGAACAGCGAATATTGAGTGGTTACCCGGACAGGCATGGCTTGAGTGCTAACGCGTCGATCATGACTGAACTCCAATACGCTAAGACCGTGCAGGGCTGCATGGTACGGATGCTCCTGGGTTGGCATTGTTATGATAGAACGAAATTGAATATCTAATGGCCTTGGGCCTATGCCTCCACCGTGGCTTTTGGAGGCGTGTGGGGATCTCGTGAGGGCATATCGAAGGCCTCCTGGAGGCGGTTCTGAACGTGTCTTGGGACCTCTCAGGGACCTCTTGGGGACCTCTTGGGGCCTGGTTCGGGTCTCTCTTGGGAGGCCTCCTGGAGCTTCCGATGGGCCTCTTGGGAGCCTGCTGGCGGTCTCGGGGGTCGTCTTGGGGCGGAGGGCGTGTTTAGTCAGTTTGAGTTGCCCCTCTTGCGCGGTCTTGGGTCGTCCTTGGGGCCGTGTTGGGGCCCTCTTGGGCCGCCTGGGCCCTCTCTGGGGCGTGTTGGGCCGCCTTGGGGCGACGTTGATGGCCTCTTTCGTCGTCCTGGAGCGTCGTGAGTCTGGAAGGGCGAGAACGTCAAACACTGCTCCAGGACTTCTTAGGCAAATCGGCGATTCCTCTGAGAGGGTCTCTTGGAGTCCTCTTGAGACGTCTTGGGGGTCTCGTGGGCCGTCCAAATGCCATCTTGGACGTCTTGGAGCGCTCTTGGGCCCTCTCGGAGGCCTCTTGGACCAGCTTGGAGGCCCACTGGGGCTGTCCGGGGGGCCTCTCGGGTGCCAGCGTGCTCCACGCCCCTGAAAGTACGTGAGTTTTGGGCCCAGGCCCATCAATACTGCTCAATCCTCGGGGTTTGGGACGGAGACATCAGGGGGAATGAGGGCACTCCGACTCGTGCCTCGCGGCACGGTGGCGGATAAACTCCGTGACCGATGAGCAAATCAGCACGGCGATCAAGCATTTGGACGAAGGTTTTGCTTTTGTTGGGATTCTTGAGGAGATCGAGATGTGCATTTGTCTGTTCCACGCCATGTTCGGAGGCATTTGTCGCAGCGCCGAGTTCGTAAACATCCGGCCAGCGTATGTGGGGGCTACGGTCCATCACGATACCTCTGTCTTGAACGGATGGCTCGACAAGATCGATCGTCCTCTGTACGACCATGCAGTCAGTGTTGTGCATTCCCGCATGAAGATGTACGGAGTCAGCAGGGACACGTGCAGCTCCAGGATCTGCCCCTGTTGCCCTCCCGTCTTTCGGCGCGCTGGCCAGGAGTCTGCAGAAGAGTTTGAGCCGTGATGCAGCCAGCAAAACAGTTCATGTTCAGCCACGCGGAGAGGGGGGGCAGGGGGAGGAGGTAATATTCATTAGAAGTACCCCTGCTTCTTAGAAGGCGCGGACCTCATCCGTAGATGTGAGGCTGGCGCTTTCTAAGAAGCAGCCTCCTTCGAAGAAGCCTTCCCCCCTCCCCCTACCTCCTTGTGCGCGCCGCCAATGTGCACTGATGCAAAACATAAGAACACATGGGAAACAAGTGGGCACTGGGGGGAAGAGGAATGGGAACGATGGGACATCCCGGACCGTGTGTCGTTTTATGTGTCTACCTCTGGGCCCCTTTTTTCTACGTTCTTTTCGGTTCTCCACCGTGATGGGCTTCCTCGGACCTCGCGGTTGTTACCCCTTGGGCTGTTCCTCGGGAGTTTCCTGGGCCATTGTGGAGCCGTATGGAGTTTGGAGGCCAACATGGGCGCCTGGGGGCAAGTTCGTGGGGACGAGGCCGTCAGCGCTCGATCTAAGCAGTGGTTTGGCGATCTCGAGGGCCGCCCTCGTTTATTTACACTGCTGTTCTGCAGCAGGGGCGGATCGAAGACGGCGAGGGAGCACGAACAGAAGACGAGCTCGGCAGTAGTTGTCCATTTTGACGTGTCTCGGGCAGTAGTTGTCCTCCTCCTCCTCCTCCCCCTCCCTTTTCCTCTGCACGGAAGACGGCGGCGGGGTTTCTCAGACGACGGCGGGGCTTCTCAGAAGCCCTCGCGCCGTCTGAGAAGTGTCCTGCGTCGTCGGAGAAGGCTTCAGAGCTGTTCTCAGAAGGAGCCGAGGGCTTCTGAGAAGCCCCGCCGCCCTCTTGAGGAGGCATGCTCCATGTCACTTCCCCCTTGAACTCCCCGCCAAGCGTTAGTTCAATCTAAGCATTGGTCATTGCAGGCAATTTTCTCTGACATCTATCAATGTCGGAAGGCAAGGCAACAAAAAGTCCAGAGGGCACAATTGTTTGACGGCCAACATCTTAGCCCTCAAGAAGGTAGGCATTGACACATGGTGGCCTTCAGTGAGCTTGTTGCCGCGATCCCGTGGTAGGCATGCCGCCCCACCTGATCACTCTCCATGTCACTTCAGTCCTCCACAGGTTTCCAGAGCTGGCGGAAGAAGGCCGCACGTCAGCCCCAGCTCCCAGGGGGGTCCCAGAGGTCCAGAGAGGGCCAGGCACGTCCACACTTCCCGAAGGGAGTCTGCGGTGCGGGGAGGCACGGGGAAGAGGCCGCGGAGAGGTCGGGGTGCCCCAGGTCGGGTCGCAAGCCGGCCTGCAATAGTTGACTCTCGGCATCGAGGGTCGGCGTTGTTCCTCGGGCGCGCGCGATCGCACAACCAGAGCCCCGATACGTTTGCCTTGTGTGGCTCGGCTGTGAAGGAACGCGTTTGAGCGGACGGGAATATTTTTTTGTCCCAATGCGTCGGGTCTGCAGCATCTGAACAAAAACAACCAGAGCCCCGATATTTCGCATCTGCGTTCGGTTGAGAACGTCTCCCTGGCCATCGCATGTCTCCCTGTGCAGCGTTCAGCTGATCTTGCAAACTTCGTTCACCAGTGTCGCACATCGGTGTTGGTGCTCATCAGACTCTAGATCTGAGCATCGCGGAAGGGGAGGACTTGGCGTGCTTACCATAAGTATTGCGAGGACAGCGTTGTGTCGGGAGCATTGCATGTAGTGTGAGAGGTACTTACCTATACGAAGGTGGTTGTCGGGAATGTTCATGGCAGTCTCTGGCAATCGGCATGTCGGTGGCTCGAACGGGTAACATTGGTCATTGCCATGTGTTCTATCCTCCCTGTACAGATGTGCGGACACACGTTCAAGGAGCTACATGCGTAATGTCATTGCAGCGCGGCTTCTCGTAGCATTAGTATTCCGACTCCCAATGACGTATGCATGGGTAGCCCGCGATCTTGTCGCAGAGACGAAGCGCTAGTGAAACGTTGATTCAGCTGCTCTAGTGAGCTGTCTCGTTTGTGTGTTTACTCGGGGCGCCTCTTGAGCTCCACGGCGTACAACGCCCCCGGCAGGACAACGCAGAGTGGGTTTTCACCATACACAGGTGCGCCAACTTGATACAGAAAGTCTGGAGGCCTGATGTTGCTCGCTCCCTTGTCATGCTAGAGTTCGCTTCTGCAGCCGATCGTGTCTGTTTACTGAATCTCGATGGTTGTCGCGACGCCTATGTGTGCTTCAGTCTTCGCCACTATATTTGCCACTCGTGCCAGCTCTCGCGCGTGCCTCCGTGCTGGGGCGCCTGCATCCTCGCAAAACGTCCTAGTCAGCGTGCTGCCTTTGCCTGTGCTCGTTCTCTCCGACGCACACATGCTGCATCGATCCGGTCACGAGTGCACGATTGACCCTATGATTGGGTAAGGGCAAGTCGTGAAGGTATAGTGCCTGACAGTTGTTTTCATAGTTCTGGCTTCTTTGGCGAATGCTTTGTAGCTCTGACATTTCGTCTGGCGCTGTCTTAGCATACCTTGAGAGGGCAATGAGCTCCATGAGGGAAGGATATCGAAACATCTTGCATATGCGCGACGGGCATCGCATTAATTCGACCATCGTATATCGAGCTGACCATAGACCCTAACCGCATTTGTTTATTAGACGCCTGATAGGTAGTGCCACTCGGCCCATCCCGCCGCCGGGCCGAAGTCTTACACAAGAAGCATGTTGGGGTCTCTTTGAAGCATCTTAGAAGCTCTTGCCTGTCCCATGGGACCCATTTAGGAGCCTCTTAGAGGCCTCTTGGGGGCCTGTCTGTTTGGGACCTCTGGGGGCCTTCTGTGGTACCCGCAAGATTCCAGGTCCTCCAGGTGGCCTTCTCTGGGGACCTCTGTGGCCCTCCAGGTTCCATAGATTTGTCGTGTCTGAGAAGTGTCCTGTTGCCTTCCAGGGAAGTTGGTCATGCGTTTCTCTTTGTTTGTTTAGGCGTGCCCGGTTGACTTGCATCGCTGTTTTGCCTTGCCCTGCCAATCGTTCCTTCTCTCGCCACTCGTGTTGCCCTGCTCTTGCCGCTTGCCTGCGCTGTCACGAGAAATCGCACACGACGTTAACATGACTAAATCTCCAGACTTCTGCGAGGATGTATTCGGTCGGTGCTGGACAACCTACACCCCAGCGCCTCCAGCGCTGCCCCTGGCGTGCTCCGCACGTCGTGGAAGGTGTGTGGAGAGGGCTGCCCAGCGCCGACCCAGGAAGCCCGCACTGTCCTCCGAGCGTTGCTGCTGGCGCCGGCTCGGGTTTCCCGCTTCTCGCCCACGCCTCGCGCTTCGCTCCTCCGCCCTTCCCTCCTCCGCCCCCGCCCTGCTGCCCAGGGGCCATCTCGCCTCGCCTCGCTCTGCCTGGCACTTGCTTGGGATGCCTAGGCTCAGGAGGGAAAAACACACACAGACACAATTAATCGTCGATTCCCCAGAAAAGATGGGAAAATATGGGGATGGGGGGGAAGACAAACAAATCCCAAATATGGGAAAATATGGGGATGTGTTTTATTTGTGTGTATTTATTTGTGTGTCCTGGGGCCCCTTCATAGTCTCTGGCCTTGTCCGGCACAGGCGGTGGCGGTGGCCTCGAGACTCGCTCTCCTGGACCCGTCCTCGGCTGCGTTGCGACCACAAGCTTAGACGGGCCCAGCCTTGGCGACGAGGCGGTTCAGGGAAGGTCAGGGACGCCCAGAAGCCCTCGCAACCTCGGTCCTCGAAACCAGGCATGCCACGTCTTGTGCCCCAACGGCTTGCCTGTGAGGGTTCTGCATCATGCTTTCAAAGCCCGCTGAGGGAGCCGAGGCCCCCGACATCAGTGGCCCAGCTTGGCCCCCCATGCCCGAGGGATGGCTCTGCAGGCTCGGATGCAGGCTTGCGAGGCAGCGGCGGTGGCAAGGACTGCCGCGTCGCCCCCGAGCGGTGCTAGTCGCTAGAGCGCCGCGAAGCGACGCACCTCGACAGCGTGCTGTCGCTCCAAGCTGGAGCTATGTTTGATGATAGACCGTTCAGGCCCCATGGGATCGCTGATGACGAACATAATTTCGCATCGCGGCCTCCCACCATGAACTGTGTAGAGCTGGACAGGCTTCTCTGCCGTGACTGCGCCATGTTCTAGAGGCCTCCCAGGGACCTCTGGACCCTTTTACCAAAGGGCCCGCTACCTCATCCTGAGTAGTTTGGTTGACTCCCCCGAAGCCCCTATTCGGCAAGGAGGTCAGTGCGGAAGTGAGGGAAGTGAGAGGGAGCAGGCCTTCTCAGACGGCGGCGGGGCTTCTCAGAAGCCCACGCGCCTTCCGAGAATCTTGGTAAGCCTTCTCCGATGCTACAGACGGCTGCTCGGAAGGCGCGAGGGCTTCTCTTCTGAGAAGCCCTGCCCCTGTCTGAGAAGGCCTGCCCGCTTTCACTCCCCCCGGGCTCGACGCGGAGGGCCGAAACTTGCGAAAAAACGATTCGGATTTAGTCTAAAACGTTGGAGGCGGAGGAGGAGGAGGAGGATGGCGATGGCGATGGCGATGGCGATGATGTTACTGATGATGCTGATGATGATCAGGATGTGGATGAGGATACTGCTGCTGCTGATGATGAGGCTGATGATGGTGGTGATGATGATGATGCTGATGATGATCACGATGATGATGAGGATGATGATGATGCTGATGATGACGATGATGATGATGAGGATACTGAGTATAAGTATGATGAGGATGAGGATGATGATGATGATGACTATGAGGATGAGGATGAGGATGAGTGTGAGGATGATTATGAGGATGATTATGATTATGAGGATGATGGTGATGATGACCATGACGATGAGGCTGAGGATGATGATGATGAGTGTGATGATGGTGATGATGGTGATGATGATGATGATGATGATGATGATGATGATGGTAATGATGAGGATGATGATGCTGGTGGTGATGACCATGCAGATGAGACTGATGATGATGATGAGTGTGATGATGGTGATGGTTGTGGTGATGATGGTAATGATGAGGATGAGGATGATGATGATCGTGGTGATGATGCTGGTGATCATGATGATACTGATTATGATGATGCTGATGGACATGATGATGACGATGATGATGATGCTGCTGATGATGATGATGCTGATGATGCTGCTGATGATGATGATGATGATGATGATGATGATGATGATGATGATGATGCTGATGATGATGATGATGATGATGACGCTGACGCTGACGCTGACGCTGACGAGGACGAGGACCAGGACGATAATGAGGGCGACGACGGCGACGATGTCGGCGACGGCGACGACGGCGATGACGAGGAAGAGGAGGAGGAGGAGGAGGAGGAGGAGGAGGAGGAGGAGGAGGTGGAGGAGGAGGAGGAGGGGGAGGGGATGGTGATGAGGATGAGGCTGCTGCTGTTGATGTTGCTTGTGCATGGCAAGGGGAATTCATGAGGATGTAGACCCCGTCAGGCCGACCTTTCTTCCGCGGGCTACCCTGGCATTCCCAACCCCGCTACAGCTTGGGAACGAAGACTGCCAAATTAGCCCAATAATTCTTTACGCTTCGCGTATCCCCACCAGCCCATCTCACAGCAGCAACTCTTGCGAAGCATGCCGACAGTCGTGTTTTTCAGGCGTGTGTCCGCTTGGCCCCGCATATCTCCCCTGTTCCTCCTTCCTCCCGCCTCCTTGTACATCCTCCTTGTGGGGGGAGCGGGAGAAGGACGAGGCGGAGGAGGAGGGAGAGAAAGCGCTCCTCGTGATTTGAGTCGTTTGGGGTTTCTCGTCCTGGTGTGAGTCGTTCGGGCCCTTCTTCCTGGTGTGAGTCGTTCGGGCTCTTCGTGGTGTGAGTCGTTCGGGCTCTTCGTCCTGGTGTGAGTCGTTCGGGCTTCTCGTGGTGTGAGTTGTTCGGGCCCCTCATCCTGGTGTGAGTCGTTCGGGCCCCTCCTCCTGGTGTGACTCGTTCGGGCTCCTCGTGGTGTGAGTCGTTCGGGGCCCGCGTCGTGGTGTGAGTCGTTCGGGCTCCTCGTGGTGTGAGTCGTTCGGGCGCCTCGTCCTGGTGTGAGTCGTTCGGGCCCCTCCTTGTGGTGTGAGTCGTTCGGGCTCTTCGTGGTGTGAGTCGTTCGGGCCCCTCGTCCTGGTGTGAGTCGTTCGGGCTCCTCGTGGGGCCTCTTGGGGGCCTCTTGGAGCCTCTTGGGGCCTCTTGGGGGCCTCTTGGGGGCCTCTTGGGGGCCTCTTGGGGGCCTCTTGGGGCCTATTGGGGCCTCTTGGGGGCCTCTTGGGGGCCTCTTGGGGGCCTCTTGGGGCCTCTTGGGGGCCTCTTGGGGGCCTCTTGGAGGCCTCTTGGGAGCCTCCTGGGGGCCTCTTGGGGCCATCTTGGGGCCTCTTGCGACCTCGTCAGAAGCGCAAATGGGCGCTGCCCCCTGAGAAGGACAAAATGAGCCCAAAACCTTCGCACAATCAATGATTTTGCTATGAGGGAAGAGAAGCGCGGCCCCCTCAGGAGGCCAAAATGGGGCCAAAACCGTAGTAAAATCAATGAGTTTGGCTTCAAAGAAGAGCAGAGGGGCCAAACTCGGCCCCCCCGTCGGGGCCAGAATCCTCGTGAGGGTCGTCGTTTTTTGGCCCTCCCAGGAGTCGAAAAAGACCCCCTTGAGAACACCCGGGGCTCCCTGTCCAGGCCCAGGGGGAGGGGGTAGGGGGAGGGGTAAACCCCTCCCCGAAGGGGAAGAAGGGGGGTTGAGGACAGAGCGGGCTCTCTAAACCACTCACGCCCAAAGGGCTGGTGGGATTACTGTGGGATGCCCGCTTTGGGCCAAAATTCATCGTAGCAGGTCGCATGACAGGCCATGCTCCTCAATGTTGCTCGAATTACCGTTAAGAATCCGAGCGTGGCCAGGATTGGCGTCGCCAGAATCATGCTGCGGCAGACTTCAACGGAGCCCTCGGCGAGCACGGGTATGCTAACGGGCGCTGCGAATAAAGCTCGATCGAGGCTCCAAGCGGATGCAAGAGCGCCTCCATTTACAGAAATCGTGATTTCCCAGACGCTAGTGTTCGGATCTGGAACCCTGGAAGTTCCGAAAAGTGCGGTTGATGTTGCAGTTGCTTTTGTTGTTGC